CGTTCCTGACAGAGGTAAAGGCCCCGAGGCTGACGCCTGCTTGCCTTTGGACTCAGCAGCGTAGCCAAAGTGGGGAGCAAAGGGAAAAGTGCTGGGAGAGGAGAGGGAGCTGGAGGGCTGGGTCACCTGGGGGTCGAGCCCCAGGACAACCAGGACTCTTCAGAGCCTACACTTTGGGTTCTAACCTGTCCGTATGCTGCGCACGATTCCAAGTCGTGGTCTCACCACCTAGTAATATTAATTTCTATCAGTTTGTAAAAATTCTGTCAGCTACTCACATGGACACCTATCATTGAGAGAACTTGAATTTTATATGACTTACCATCTTTCTGCATCTTTTAATGATCCCTTGAGACTCTAGTCAAATGAACGACACAGTGTCTGTGGTTTTCACACCTCGTGGGCAGCCTGGAGGCCTGCCAGAGCCTGTCAGGGGAGTGATTGATGCTGGCCCGGGCCACTGAAGGGAACTGTTTGAAGAAATGCAGTGGGCATTTTAATAGGTGTTAAAGGGCTGTCGTTTTTTTCAGTGATCTGGAGATATGCAGAAGACATTAGTAGAGCTACAATGTGCATACGGTATTCTGTGATTTTATTTTTAAATCTCTAGATAAACTTCCCCTTGGATCATATCTGGATCCAGGTAACTTCAGTGGGTGGTGGGTGGGGCAATTAGAAAAAGACCATTTTTTAGGAGCCCTGTGCTGCTGACAATCCCAGGGGCACACACATTTTCATGTGTCTGCTTTTTCCGCACTTTCTGGTGAAGAAAAGACAGTGTTTGCCTTTACTTTTGGCCTTGTTATCTCACTGTTAACTATGTAAGCCCGTGATGATCATTTCGTTGCCAGGAAAAGTTTTGTTTTTATTAGATTAAGCAGTGATTTTTCAAAGTGTGGACCCCAGACGAGCAGCATCAATAGAAGCTGGGAACTTGTGGAAAGGGCACCTTCTCGGGCCTCACCCCAGCACCCCAGGTCCAGAAGGTGGGGCCTGAGACTGTGCTTTTAAATTTTTTTAATTTTAGTTAAAAAAAATAATACACAAGCCCGGCTGATGTGGCTCAGGGGTTGGGTGTCGACCTATGAACCTATTATGGTTCTATTCCTGGTCAGGGCATATGCCTGGGTTGCGAGCTCGATCCCTGGGGTGGGGGTGGGGGTGGGTGTGTGTGTGTGTGTGTGTGTGCAAGAGGCAGCCGATTACTGATTCTCTCTTATCATTGATGTTTCTATCTCTCTCTCTCCCTCTCCCTTCCTCTCTGAAATCAATAAAAATATACTTAAAAAAAAACTCATATACAACAATATAAAATTTAGTATGTTAACTATATATTTTAAAAAATTTTATTTCGGTAGATTAGTGATATTGGTGTATATTAGTGATATCGGTTTCAGGTGTACAATATAGTGATTTGGCATTTTCATACCTTACAGTGTGATCACCCCACTAATTCTCGTAATCACCTGTCACCATGCAAACTTATCACAATATTATTGGCTAGATTCCCCTTCACCTTATTCATCATCCCCCCGGCTCCCCAGTAATCATTCCTATAGTCTCTATTTTATCTTAATTATCTTTTTTTAAATATATTTTATTGATTTTTTACAGAGAGGAAGAGAGAGGGATAGAGAGTTAGAAACATCGATGAGAGAGAAACATCATCAGCTACCTCCTGCACACTCCCTACTGGGTATGTGCCCGCAACCAAGGTACATGCCCTTGACCAGAATCGAACCTGAGACCCTTGAGTCCGCAGGCCAACGCTCTATCCACTGAGCCAAACCGGTTAGGGCTATCTTAATTATCTTTAAGTGTAGACTTCAGCAAAGTATATTCACATTATTGCACATTAGCTCTCTAGAAGCTCTTCATCATGTAAAACTAAATCACTATTCTCATTAAACAGCTCTCATTACACCTTCCCCCCAGTCCTGGGCAACCACCATTCTGCTTTCTGTCTCTATGATATGACTACTATAGGTACCTCATATAAGTGGAATCACATAGTATTTATCTCTCTGTGACTGGCTTATTTCACTTAGCGTAATGTCCGTAAGGTTCATCCATGTTGTAGCATGTGTCAGAATTTCCTTCCTTTTACTTTTTTTAAATTTCTTTTTATTCATTGATATGAGAGAGACAGAGAGACATTGATTTATTGTTCCACTTATTTATGCATTCATTGGTTTCTTATATGTGTCCTGCCCGGGGATCAAACCCTCTACCTTGGCCTATCAGGATGACTGACACTCAGCCAGGGTGAGAATTTCTTTTTCAAGGCTGAATAATACTCCATTGTACACACAGGCATACACCACATTTTGTTCATTCATTCAACCATCGAGGGACATTCGGTTTGCTTCCATCTCTTGGCTGTTGTGACTAATGCTGCAGGGAACATGGTAGTGCAGGTACCTCTTCGAGACCCTGATTTCATTGCCTTTGGAATATTCCCAGAAGTGGGACTGCCGGACCTTGGGGAACCTGCACACTGTTTTCCGTGGCTGCTGCACCATTTGCCTTCCCACCACGGAGAATGTGCACTTGCAGCACGTTCGCAGGTAACACGGTGCACACTCGAGTTTGAGAACCACCTGATCAGCATGAGGCTCCTGCCCCTCTCCATGGAAGTTGTTACAAATGTGACATTTATGTGAGAAATTAATCTTGTTGGGGGACATTATCCAACAGGTGAGCCGGCTCCTGATTCTGGGAGGGGCCAACGTGAACTACAGGACCGAAGTGCTGAATAACGCCCCGATCCTGTGTGTCCAGTCTCACCTTGGCCATGAGGAGGTGGTCACTCTGCTCCTGGAGTTTGGTGCCTGCCTGGACGGCATGTCTGAGAACGGCATGACTGCCCTCTGCTACGCGGCCGCTGCTGGCCACATGAAGCTGGTGTGCCTGCTGGTCAAGAAGGGGGCGAGGGTAAGCAGCAGCCTTCCCCCGGCAACGGGGGTGGGGGGTGGGGGGGGTAAATGTCTTCATGTCCTCGTTAGAATTATCCCCTGGGCCAGCCTTCCATTTGTCTCCACCTGGTTGCATTGCAATGAACAGAAATTGCCAGGTAAGCAGAAAGGGTGAGCTCAGCACTGCCGTGGGATGCCACCTGAGTGGGTGCGCTGAGTGGCTGCTCCAGTGCGCAGCCTTGGAGAGCGAGGGGCCGGGTGTTTGCCTCCCAAACTCTTACTCTGCTTACTGTTGCCCCAGGGGAGGCAGGCTACCTGCGGTTCCTGGCAACAGTGGCCGAGTAGGGCCATCCTTTCAAAAGCCTGCAAGTGCGGACCTAGATAGAACTTGCCAGAATTTAACAGCACCAATTGCGTGAAAAGATTCACATGTTTCATTTTTTTCCCCTCTCTCTCCTTGTCCCATTTCATTTCATGCCTTTTTTTAAAACAATAAAATGAGTTCTGTGGGCCTCAGAAGCCATGTGCCTGAGCATATGGATCCAGGAGCCAGACAGCTCAGAATCCTTATTTCTCCAGCTGCCAGCTGGGACGCTGGGCAAGTAGTTGAGGGTGCGTGCCTCAGGCTTCCCACCTGTAAGATGGGCATGGCAACAGTGTCTGCCACGGGCTGTTGTGTGAGCATTAAATAAGTCAATGTATTAACATTATTATTAGATAAGTTACTCTAGGACTATCGATGTTAATAAATTGAATGAGAGCAGTGCCTAGCTCACAGTAAACTCTATTTAGGTTTACTGTAAGCATTTCATTTGGGGGTGGGGGTGGGGGAGGTGCGCTTTTGAATAACAATTGAAAGAAATCGGTGATGTCTTTATGCTAATTAGATACCGAAGGTTTAACAAAAAGACATTAGGCTTCTAGTAACTGTGGGAGCCCTTTTGGTTTTTCTCTCAAAAACACATTTGGGATGGATGAACTTTAATTTAGCACAAGGAAGAAGAGAAATGTGGCTGTTATGCCTTCCCAGTGGGCACATTATTGCACATCAGCACACCTCCATTCCCACATCCAGACTGGGACTCAGCTTTATTCGGAGGCCAGCACGCCCCCTTCCACCCCAGCTGAAAGACCTGTAGGAGGGCAAGGGTCAGGGTCTTGCAAAGCCTCTGGGTGGGGGTGCAGGGCATTCCAAGAATTTGGAAGCAAGGAGAGGCTGTATTCCTGAATGTAGACAGAATGACGCGTTATCTGCTGCCTTTGGGCCTGTAGGAGGTATGCAGCACTCAGACACTCTGTGACGAGCTGGCCTTCCCGGCTCTGTAGCCACGCTTGACATGCTGACAGGTCCCAGGTCGCCTGCCTGCACACGGCCTCCTTCCCCAATCGACGCCATTCAGAGTCCCTTCCTTGTTCAGAGCTGGGTCTTCCAAATCCCTCCCTTTTGCTGGCTCTCCTGGCTTAGTGACTAAAGAACTGCTCTGCGCCCCCAGAATGTAGCCTGTCACAGCCCGTTAGCATGTCCCCCTCCAGGAACTGGAGTCAGTGAGCACTGGGCTTTGGCTGAGGTTTCGATCTGTGTCCTAACACGTGCTCCCCAGAGAACTCAGAGCTCCTAGTTGTTTGCTGGAGGGACACGGAGTGAGCAGGGTGTGCTGTGACAGCCAGTCTACAAAGGGAACCCGAGACCTGGCAGAGTGCGTCCATTCCGTCGAAGTAATGCCAACGGGACTCTGTTCTCCAGAAAGACGCACTGGGATGTGGACCCAGTACCTGTGTTTGCACACAGACAGCATTTGTGTTGGACCCATGTTCTCAGAGCAAAGGTGATGCTAAACCAGAGGTTCTCAACCTGTGGGTCGCGACCCCTTTGGGGGTCAAACGATCCTTTCACAGGGGTCGCGTAAGACCATCAGAAAACACATATATAATATTGTTTTTGTGATTATCACTATGCTTTAATTATGTTCAATTTGTAACAGTGAAATTGGGGGTCACCACAACATGAGGAACTGTATTAAAGGGTCGCGGCATTAGGCAGGTTGAGAACCACTGTGCTTAACGGTGACCTTTGCTCCTGCCTTCCAGTTGGACCATTTGGATAAGAAAGGCCAGTGTGCGCTGGTCCACAGCGCACTGAGGGGCCACAGCGACGTTCTCCAGTACCTGCTGGCCTGTGAGTGGTCGGCAGGTGCACCCCAGCCAGGTGCACTGAGGAAGAGCCACGCCCTGCAGCAGGCATTGACGGCGGCCGCCAGCATGGGCCACGGCTCGGTGAGTGGGGCTGCGGGGTTCCCTCTTGGGAAACTGGAAGCTGTGGTGCACTGGGGTGGGTGCTTGTGCAGGTCACCTTCTTTGGAGTTGCTAGCCTATGATACATGGAAGAAAAGAAGGTAAAGGAGGGTTTTGAGAAACAGCATTTGGTTTGACCATGTGTGACCACGATCCAGGGTCTTGGCATCACACCCTTCCTAAGAGTGAAAGCCTCAGGCCCACAGTGTCAAGTGCATATGTGTGCTCACGGCGGGGAGGCCTCTCCCACACGGAGTCCTTCATAATAGTCATAACGTTCATTCTCTGCTCTTCCTTGTCCCTGTTTAAAAATTGATTGTTAAGAGAGGAAGGGAGAGAGAGAGGGAGAGAGAGAGAGAGAAACATCGATCCCCACCTGAGATGGAACCCGTAACCTGGGTATGTGCCCTGACAGGGAATCGAACTTGCCACCTTTTGGTGTCCTGGACAGTGCTCCACAGCCAACTGAGCCACAAGCCAGGGCTTCCTTGTCTATGTCTGTCTTCCTTCCCTCTTCTACTTTGATCCTCTTGCCCTGCTGCCTTACTTTTTTATCCCCACTTTGATTCATTCTTTTTTCCTTTTGGTCTTTTAAAAATAATCAGATTGAATCCTAATTCTAAAATTGTCCTTGAGTATTTGAAAGATTTTAAAAATAGAAACTCAGTGCTCTCATAGCCTGTAAAAACGCTTGCCATTCGCAGTTCCTGCACTGAACGAAAACTCCACCGGCAGTTCAATAGAGCACTTATTTCTGGTAGACGTTGGCACTCCTGAGTTTCAGGTGTAATTGTCACCTCCTCACCAGTGTGTCTGTGAATTTAATATTTTATTTGCTTTCTTCTATGTATTTCTCTCTGTATGATCCTCAAACGATCAGAGTTGCCAGTATTTGGTAAGAGTTGTCCCCATTGTCCCTACAATAACTTAGAATAAATTTGGGTGCAAAGCTGGTTGGCTGGCTAACTTTTCATATTTAAAACACAAGAGCAAGCATACACACACATTAAAAATACACATACATAATACTTCAATACAATATATTGCATTAAGTTGAATGCAGAAGCATATAAGAAGATGCAGCTCTCTTAAGAGAGACATGAGAGATTTACAAAAATATGAAACAATACTAGTCAACTTACATGTTTTAGTTCTGGAAAAAATACTTCTTTTATTTAAAAAAAACTATATTTCATAAAAATATGTTAAATGTCATATATAATGGGTTTATGATAAGCTCAGCGTGTTTTAAAGCTGGCTGAGAAGAATGCTGTGCAAAACCAACTTCAGCCTCACCAGTAACAACTTCGTAGCAAAGGGCAGGATTCATTCCTCACCTCGAAGGGTGTATGAGCTTCCTCATGCTGCTGTAACAAGTGACCACAGACTTGAGTGACTTAAAACAGCAGACACCCGTTCTCTTTCGGACCTGGAAGTTAGAAAGCTAAAGGTAAGGTGTCAGGAAGCCAGTGTTGTTTCTGGAGGCTCTAGAGGGGAATGGTGTTTAGCTTTCTTCTAGTTTCTAGAAGCCAGCTGTATTCCTTAGTTTATGTCCCTTTCCTTTGTCTTCAAAGTGCATCACTTTAACCTATGCTTCTGTCTTCCCATCTCCCCCTTCCTCTGAATTGTTGTCCCTGTCCCTCTTCAAGGGCCGCTGTGATGATGTCAGGTGTATATGAGGTATGCACCTGGGTAATGCAAGGTCATCGTCCCTTTCCAGATTCGTAATCACATCTGCACATTCCCTCTTGCCATGCATGGTAACATTCCCAGTTTTGGGGACAAAGATGTGGATATATTTGGGGGCTATTGTTCAGCCTACCACATTGGGTGCAGATTGGGGGACGGGAAAATGGCTCTGCCCCCGCCTGCTGCTGCTGCTGTGCAGAGTGAAGGGTTCATGGCTCACATCCTTCCGATTCCCCTGGAGCCAGCATCCTGGCTCCACACCTGTGACCCTGCCTGGTCTTCGATGGGGTCGGTGCCCGCACAGGAGAGAATAATAACGCTGTCAATATGAAAATCATTTGGACAATGCTATTTATTTTATTGTATTGAAAAGATATACACCACCTTGTTTTCTTTCCTTGTGAAAATGGATTCACCATCTTCAGGCAATTTATGCAGAAGCTGCACTTTGTGTGATATCCTGTGTCCTTTGATGATTAGGCTGGCATATTTGGGTCATGTTGGAATTCATTAAAATTCTGAGTACTTGGTAATCCTGAACAACGTTGCTGAAATTCACTGCGCCTTTTCTAAAAAAAAAAAAAATTCTCCTCAAAGTGAACGTGTGGATAGCATATGAATTATGCTTGAAAACGGTTTTCATTATATTTTCTCTCCTTGTGCAGCATGAGATAATCATGGTTAAAAAACAACAGACTCGCTTCTTTGGTACATGGGTACAATAAGCACATATGGCGATGAGAACTCATTAAGTCACCTTGCCACTTCTGACAGGTGGTCGAGTGCTTGCTGGGACTGGAAAAGGAACATGAAATAGACGTCAATGGCACCGACACGTTGTGGGGAGAAACAGGTAATTATGGCTCCACAGCTTACAGTCTGGGCCAGCCCGGATGCCAGATGTCTTAACCCTCGTTTGGGCCTAATCGTCCTAAGGATGACTTGGGATGCATATCGCCCTGTTGTTATTTTTATCCTGAGGTATTTGAAGCTTAGCAGATGAGTCGTAAAACTTTCCTAAAATTCAAATCATTTTGAATTAGACCAGCAGTGCCTATGAATCTGATGACTGGCAGCTAGAAATACTGCGTCTGACGAATGTCAGCCAGAAAGACCTGAATAAGGTGTTCCCTTATCCTAAGCAGCCTGGTCTCCTGTGAGCAGGGCAGGGCCGCTGCCCCGGGTTCAGATGAATCCAAGGTGTTCAGTGAGTAGGCTGCGGCTGCCTGTGGAGAGCGGCCTGGGGCCTCGGGGGCTGCTTAAAGCACTGAGGCCAGGCTGCCAAGCCCATTTCCGTCGCTGTGGGGGAGGGGTGTGTGTTTAACTGCAGTGTGGGAAGGGAGCCCATGAAGATCTGAGTTGGTTACCTGTCAGGTTAATATGGATAATGCTGCTTTGAGATTTTCCATTGCACTGAATTGGTATCAGCATCATAGGACTCTAAGTTATGAGTTGTTGAGTGGATGTAGCCAAGGGTGCTTATGTTTACTGTGTGTGTCCAGGCTGTGTGCTGTGTGTAGACACAGCGTACATGGCTTCCATATCTCCTGTGCAGATTTATTTCCAAATGCTCCTGAATTATTTCCTAACCAGCCAAACGGCAGTGTGTCGAGTTTATCAGCGAACTCATGCATAAGAAAAGCCTCAGGTGTTTGGAGGGTGAGGGTGGGGTGCAGGCCTGCACTTAAAAGTCTCTGGCACCTTCCCTCGGGGCTGCCACCTTGTGTATGTGTGTAGTATGTGTGTGGTGTATGTGTGTCGTGTGTGTATGGTGTATGTGTGTGTGGTGTGTGTGTGTGTGTATGTGTGTGTATGTGTCGTGTGTGTGTGTGTGTGTGTGTGGCGTTAGTGCCAGCCTGTCCTGGTGTCTACGGAGAAGGTGGCCTGGCCCCTGTTCCAGGAAGAGCGCAGAACCCTGAAGAGAGTTGGGTTATGCTTGGGGCTAAATGTGAGTAGATTTAAATATTGCCCTTAATTCTTTATGGAGTCTTTCCCCACCCCATTTAGATAGTACGGGCTGCTCTGTAAGCTCATGAAAGAAAAGCTTCCGTCCACTTCCCTATAGTGTTGTGGGCGGCAGAGTAGGACTTTGCATGTTGCTTAGTCAGAGGGTCCCATTCCTGCCTTTCCAGTGGCTGGTGTCGCAGGTTTGGGCAAGTTCCTCTGCCTCCTTGTCAAATGAGGTAAATAGTACCTACTTTCCAGGATCGTGGTGAAGATAAGGAATCTCGTCCAAATGTACCCAATGATAAAAACCCCGGGAACACTGCCTCAACATCTTGATTCGTTATGTCTAGGGCAGTGGTCGGCAAACTGCGGCTCGGCAAACCGCGGGTCTTCGACACTACATCTTCTTTCACTCTACAACGTTCCCTAAAATGAACTTAATAAACTTTACTTAAAGTTTTAAGTCACAGTCGCACTATACGTGCACACCCGCACGTGGCATTTTGTGGAAGAGCCACACTCAAGGGGCCAAAGAGCCGCATGTGGCTCGTGAGCCGCAGTTTACCGACCACGGGTCTAGGGGAGCCCCACACTCACTTTTCTTAGCAGGCATCCCAGGTCGTGCCAGGTGATTGTGGCTTCGGGACAGAGAGAGAACCACTGGGGAGGCTCTGAGCAGTGACACAGAATGAGAGGTGCCCGTGGTGGTGGTGGTGGGGGCCAGGTCTAGTATTCGTTAACAGGCATACTGAGCCCAAAGGGGAATCCCCAGCCTTTAATACTGAAGATTTTTCTTTCTGGAAGAAAAATCCAGAGAAGGGCTGCATGTGAGGGCTTTGTGTGAGCAGTCTCTTGTGTCTCTTGCTGACCCGTCTTGAATTTTAGGATCCCCAGCCCCCTTGAGAATCTGCTAGGCTGATAGCTAAAGAGACAGGTAAGAGAGACCACTGTTCCCATCAACCTTACTGAAAAGATGAATCACAGCTCAGCCCCAGCCTTTGGAAGCGCGCCCTTCAGACCACCCTGCAGCCTGGGAAGTACTCATGCCCTTCCTCAGCAGGCGCAGGGTGAACGTCATCAGCCCAGAGTTTGAAGGATTTTTTTTAAGTTAATCACTGTTTCTTGGGTGTAAAGGTCCCCAGTGGGCTCTCTGTGGACTGTGTCAATAAAGTCAGTCTTGCCCTAACTGGTTTGGCTCAGTGGATAGAGCATCAGCCTTCAGACTGAGGGATCCTGGGTACCATTCCAGTCAAGGGCATGTACCTTGGTTGTGGGCACATCCCCACAAGGAGGTGTGCAGGAGGCAGCTGATTGATGCCCTCCCCTACCATCAAGACAATTTTTTTAAAGTAACTTCTGTACAAACTGTTATACTAAGACTTGTTAATACGACTTCATTAAAATGATTGTACAGTGGGGCCTTGACTTACGAGTTGCCCAACTAACGAGTTTTTTGAGACCAGCTGTCTCTCGGCCGATATTTTGCATTGAGTTGACAGTAATTTGAGTTAATGAGCTCGGTCTCGGAACAAATTAAACTTGTAAGTCAAGACCCCACTCTGTGTGTGTGTGTGTGTGTGTGTGTGTGTGTGTGTGTGTATACAGCCTTCCCGTCTCTGCATTTCCTATCTGGTACCTTTCTCCTGTGTTCCTTCAAAAATGACTGTCATTGTCTGCTACCCCAAATCCTCATTTCCAGATCTGTGGTTGTCAAAGACAGTTGCACACTGAAATCTGGCAGTGGAAGTCTTAAATGAGAGCACATCTACAAATTTGGGGTACTGCCCAGATCGTGAGGCCTGTGTTTGGGATTTGGCCACGAAAGGTCCACGTTACCTGAGCCCAAATGTCTCCTGGAGAGCGTGAGCATGAGTGGGTAGGCCAGCTCACAGTCCTCATTCTCACCGGGCAGCTACCTGTGGCTCCGCGACCTGCACCGGCTGCACTGCTCTGTGTACTGCTTCTAGTAGCTGGGGACCCTTGGAAGTGAAAGCGGTTGTTTCACTTCCTGGTTTTGTTTGGTCCTCATCCCTGGGTGTGGTAGGGGTGATTTGTGACTGAGACACTTAGCCTGGGGCTTGTCTGTCTCCAGCAGCAGCTTGAGGGGAGCATCCTGCGTCTGATTCTGCCTGGAGAGTGGGAAGAGGAGGGAACAACTGGACGCTCTGTATCGATAATGCATTCATTATTTGTCTCCCAACCTGTGGTGAGCCGGCACGGCCATGGCATACTCAGCCCCAGGGCGCCTTATGTGCCACGACAGCTCAGCCAGGTTCAGTGACCCTGAGAGGGGGCGGTGAAGGATGGAGAAAAGACAGGAGAAGAAAGCTGGATCTGGGTGGGACGCTGCTCCCGAATGGAGAGACAGTGCCAGTGCCCACAAGCCGTGTCTTTACATTCATTGTGACATTCGCTGCGCCAACTAGCGGTGGAGTATCTGAAGCTGGCTCATAACCCGAATTTTAGCTCGCAACTCAAAGCTGTTGGCTATAATTGTGCTGGGAGGGCTCTCCCTCCAAGCTGAGACTTGCAGGTGGCCATGAGAGGACTGTGCCTTCTCATCATCCAAGGCTTGAACCTGTCCAAACCCTGTAGCCGCTCTCCACACCAACCGTGTGTAAGTTTCTACAAGTCTGTCAGTATTGCTTCAGCTGTGAGTAGCTGGTCTTTAAAATACCAGCTGCTGGGGTTGCAAGGCAGGGCCTCCTGAGTCTGTTTTTGGCTCACCTGCCTGCCGTTGAAGGGCCCCTGGTTTTCTGCGGTGACGCCATGTCCCAGAAGTGGGGGCGCTAAATCTGTGCAGAGCCCTTCCCCACTTTTCTGCCAGAAGAGACGCTTGCAATCCCAGGGTATCTACCGTGTGTTGCCAATGTGTGGTTTTCATGCCTGGTGCTGACTGGAAGTAGCAGGTCATCCTTGAGAATGACAGCTGACAGAGGGAGGGGCCACAGGGAACGGCAGACCTGTGTGAGGTCCCTCGTCACTCGGGCCAATCCAGGTGGGGATGGTGGGGGTAGACAGCCGTGCACCTTTAGTGCCCCAGGTGTCTCCCTGCTGCTGACCTAGTCACCAGATGTCATCACAGAGGGGGGATGGTTCCTATCTTAGGTTTAGAGAGACAAGAAAATATATAGTAGAGTTCATCTAAAATGGTAACAGTGCTTAGTGTAGGGTTTATGGCCGTAAATCTATGGCTTTTAGACAACTTAGGCTATCTCTGCCTGAGTTCTAGAGCAGAGTTTAATGTAAGTTTCCCTTTCACCAGCTTCTGGGGCCATTTGCTCCTTATGTCTGTTTGATGTTGAGGATTCAGCCCTTCAAAACCAGTGCTGTAGTCCAGTAGCTCCTCGTGCTCACTCTGGTGGCGTAGAGGGACCGGGCGGAGAAATCTTGCTGGAAGGGAGGGGTAAGGGGCCCTTCAACGCCAGACAGGTGAGCCCAAAACGGCCCCAGGAGCTGCCAGGGACTGGGCTTGCTGCAGTGTCTCCTGCCCAGCGCTCCACCCTGCAGCCCCAGGCCCTTTGCTCAGGGTCGCTCGCCAACCTGGTAGGACAGACGGCGTCGGTCTCCTGGCTTCCGGGCAGCCTGGAACATGACAGGAGCCCATCTGATGCTTGTGCAATCTCTGTCTCAGGCATTCCACAGCCATGACAGGTAAGTCCCGACCGAACAGAGTCGCTGTTTCCGTGTGGGTGCTGGATGTGAATTAGCCCGGCCTGAAATGGTCAGAGCTGCTTGGTGCTCACCTGGTGACCTCATGCCATTGTGAATTGTCAGAGGAACTGTGTTCCCACACTCCAGGCAGCTCTCACGCCTGGGAGCCTGCTGTCTGTGTTTCTGGCCAGAACTTCCAGCTCTTTGCAGGGTATACAGGCCCTTCTGTTTCAGCATTTGCCAGTTTATGTG